TTAAGAGAAATCTGTTTTTTTCTGCAGCTAAAATTAAGTTGTTAATTGTTTTCTTCGAAATCAATAATCGCTCTCATAATTATTTACAGTATTAAATAAGTTAATTGTGGTTAATGTTGCTAGAAATAAGCCCTTACGTACATTTTATTATTATTATATCCTCATAATAATAATAAAATGAAATGAAAATCCGGAAGCCGGCAACGATATTGTTGTTCTTGTTTTCAAATTCACCAATAAGCAGGCAAAGAGCGTAGCCTATACAGCCTAGTCTGTCGAAGTTATATATTTTTTATGTCAATAAAAAGCTGGTGTATCTCTTTTTATTGCTTTTTGGGAGTTTTGACGTCAACTCGACGAATACCACATTGACTGAGCATGAGCTTACGCAGACCTTTTATACACAATATTACAAATACAAATAATACAAATTACACAATAAACTATTAAAAAAACATTTAAAAAAAAATTCAAGTGACGCTTCACTCGGGTTGCTGCCAAAACTAATCATATATAATAAGAATAGAGTAATGGTAGGCCATTGATATTTTTACTAATGGAATCATTAATATCTAAAAATATTAAATAATTCATGGTTTTAAGTAATAATTATTATTACAATAAATATTGAATTGAACAAAAATAAACTAAGAAGCCTGTGAATTATAAGCATTAGCTATTTTTTTTTTATTTGTTGTTCAAGTCACAAACAACTCTTTCGTTTGACAGCATATAGGTTTGCTACAAGGCTGTATGGGCTAAGCCGTTTGCCTATTGGCGAATTTAAAAACTATGGCATGGATAGTTTTGGGATGTTATCAATTAAGTAATTTATTTTTTTGGAAAACAATGCCAGGTTGAAAGAAATGTTGATACATAAACAACGTGAAAAAATAAGGCATAGTTTTTCAAGTACAAATAGTTTTGACATAAATTTGGCCCACTTTTGGGCATTGTCCTTTATTTGTATTTAGTTTTTTCTTTTCTCTCTTTAAGCACCTGTCATTTTTTGCATATTGTGACATTAGCGAAATCAATGCCTAAGGCATATTGGAGCCAAAACTTTTTATAAAAAAAAACCTAATTTATTTTAACATATTATTTTCTATTGCAGCTGGAGAGAATTTTGAGGAGATTTTCAATTTAAATAATATTTTGAAATAGTAATGTTACTGGAAGTATCTACCTATATTTTGTGAAACTTAATAAATGCTCTTGAATCATCTTGCCTTTTTTTTATTTATTTTTTATTCATTTTGCTTTCAAATCTCGCAATATGCTTAACATAGAATTCGCATTAATTTTATAAAATACTAGCCGTACTCGCCCGCTTCGCTGGGCATTTAAAATTAACATTATTAGGATTAAAACTTGATGCCTTTCTTTTTAAAAGTATTTTCACTCGCCTTCAAAGACGTTCTTCTCAATTTATTTGTTGTTATATTACTAAACTAGCCGTACTCGCCCGCTTCGCTGGGCATTTAAAATTAACATTATTATTTATTGTCATTATTATTAGGGAGACCAACACTCATATAAATATTAGCCTATTCATTAAGTACATGTATTTTCTACGTGGATACCAAGTTTCAAGTCAATCGGATGCGTGGTTCAGTTATAACGTCATCATCATTTTAATCTGAAGGGTAACTCGGCCGTCGGACTCGTGTTGAGCGATGCGACTGTGCAGGTGTTACAATTATCAGATACCAATTATTCTAATGAAATATGTACTTGACTCATGTTCAAGAATTACACCCACGATGGTTATTCCTTCACAAAAGTGATTGCACCCTATAATAAAAATCAAACCGTGAAAATATTAATATTATTGTTATTGTAGATTAGCGATTTATTTAAGATTGTTTGAGACAGGCACAACATCCTATCAACAAGGCAGTCTCGTGATTTTTGCAATTCAAGATAAATAATATTATATCCACTATTTTCCAATTTAGATTCAAACTAGAATTTTAAGAAAAAATGAATTAAAATAATAAAGTCGATTCTTCAAGTTACTATGTACCGTAAAATGGGGTAAATAGGGACAAAATCGACCTTCAGATTGAATTTTAAAATAGTACCAATTAAATAGTCACTGCTCAACCAAAGAAATAAGTTGAGTCTTAAACGTACCTAGGTGATAAAAACCGTTACATTATTTTAATTATTCATTTTAAAGAAATATTCGGTAAAATAATGGCCGTCAAATTCAAATTCAAATTCAAAATCATTTATTTCAACTTAGATGTCAGTATGACACACTTGTTGAATGTCAAAATACAAATAACAATGTTAACTCTACCACCGGTTCCAAAAAAAGCCACAGTCCTGAGAAGAACCGGCGAAACAAACTCAGCGGGCTTTTTTTTTTTTTTTGTTTTTTCTCAAATATTTTCTTTTTNAATCATAAAATAGAAAACAAAAGGACTGGAAATGCAATAATACAATTTTATTTAATCAACAACGACGCGTGAATAGATTCTGAAATAACAAAAGTTTTGATTCATTTGAGTTCTTTTTAATTTAATTTCTTTTTATTGCTGTAAAGGACATACGACCGGGCAGATATTACAAGGTAAATGTCGCGAAAAAAAAGTAATTATATATATAATTTTCTTTTACCTATAATACTTACATAAACTAACTGATAAACACATTAACCTTCTTTACATCACGCAATTGAGTGATAGTATAGGCTAAAAAATATATTATAAGATATCAGTGACAACCCTAACAAGCCATCCCTATTTTGTCTTTTGGCGTTCCAAGTTTGTGTTTTCTCGTCCCTAATGTTTCCAGTCTCGTTCCAAATTACCCCACATACGTCCCAATTTTCCCCAAAAAGCAGGGAAAAAATATACATTTTTTATTTTGTCGAAATATTGTATTTAAAATAAGAATATTGCAACTTACTGTTTGTTTTGGTATTTTCAGCTGTATTAAAAACTTAAACTGTGATCTTATTGAAAAAACAACGATAATATTACTTTTTTTAAAAGTTCTTTAAGCTGTTTTAAAACGCACTTTTCAACCACTATTTTCAATTTAATTTGATGAATTTTTGGGACCAACTTAACTCATATTTAGTACTTCCATAGTTAACTTGGTTTTTCTTCTATACATTGATAAATATTACCTTAAAGAAAATTAGGTAGATTCCGTGCTACAGGTACTTTGAGAATCTTCCGCAGGTTGGTCCCAATTTACCCCAGAATCCCAATTTACCCCATGTCATGGTACCTACTTAAGTTCGTATCTAAACTATCCTTTTGATATAGTCGTGGCCTAAAGGATAAGACGTCCGGTGCATTCGTATGTAGCGATGCATCGGTGTTTGAATTCCGTAGGCGGGTACCAATTTTTCTAATGAAATACGTACTTAATGTTCACGATTGACTTCCACGGTGAAGGAATAACATCGTGTCAAAAAAAGAAAACCAAAATTATAATTATAATTTGCGTAATTACTGGTGGCAAGACCTCTTGTAAGTCCGCGCGGGTAGGTACCGCCTTACTTATTTCTGCTGTGAAGCAGTAATGCGTTTCGGTTTGAAGGGTGGGGCAGCCGTTATAATTATACTTGAGATCTTAGAACTTATATCTCAAGGTGGATGGCGCATTTACGTTGTAGATGTCTATGGGCTCCAGTAACCACTTAACACAAGGTGGGTTGTGAGTTCGTCCACCCAACTAAGCAATAAAAAAAAACATGTCGCGTACTAAGCGAAATGTCGCAGATACACTTTCACTCTTCGTTAAATATAAAGGCTTCGCAGTATACTAAACTGACGTTACAGTGCTCACAGTGCTTAACGGAACATAGCCGAAGTGCGGTAGTTTAATGCCGGCCACATGCGCGCGAACATTCGTGCAATGTACGAATGTTTGCGCGCATGTGAAGGGCCGTCAAACATTCATTCGCAAACTTAGCGGCTGTGCAAATTCGCGGGTTCGGTACTCAATTTTCGAACCCGTTTGCGCTTCCTCCTACACTTGTTTACGAATGTCTCACGAGTTTCTCTTCTTTTTTAATTGGCCAATAGAACTTAAAGAGAAAGAGAGTTTTTAATTCTTACCCAGGCGTCCCTTGGCCGTTAGTCACTCTGTTTTTATGGGATTTCATTTGAGGGTCCCATATGGTCGATTCATTTTGCAAAAGTTCAATGAACTCCATCACCTTGGTGTTGTTCCAGTCCGTGATGAAGGTACGCTACATAGTAGACGTCACGAACTATGAAAATGGCGAAACGTTCGTTACCTTCGCAATCGTGGGCGCAACTGGTCACACGAATGTGTGGGAGACTACACGAATAATCGTGGTTCGCGTGCTTTGATGTCCGTTAAAAAACCGACACAGCTTAGAAAGCTGCGAATGCAGCGAAAACTTTGCATAATCATTTGCAAATGTCGTCCTACACTTGCGGGTTTACGTATTCGTGTGAATGTGAGTGACCGGTATAAAAATCTTGAATTCTTATTCAATTTATGAATTTTATTAAAAATTCTAAATAAGAATAATAGGGCAGAAATAATAAATTTTATATGTTTCATATTGTAATCAATTGCGATGAAACGCTATGAATATTTTCTCTTAGTTACATTAGTGGGCTTTATAAAAGAACACGAGAAGCCTTATCTGGCGAAATAGTTTCAGTTTCCCATCCTTGCGCGCTCTTATAGATGTTAAACAATTCATAAGTCACCATTATTACGTGCTTAAATCTGACGAAATATTAAATTAACAAAATCAATCGAACAAAACAAAATAAGAGTATAAATTAAAATAAGGCAAGGTCTTAGTTACCAGGTCATAAAATCCCTTAAAAAAAAGACTAATGCCATATTTGACACTTTTGACCATAGATTATACGTTTGAGACAATTTTATTGCTGATTGCACCTTTACAGTAGGTTGGTTGTAATTTGTAACAACTATTTATTTTATTTTACTGGCCCTTCCATGTAATGAACTGCAGAGATGTGTTAAAATGCTGAATTTCAATGACTTAGCTTTCGGTAACCCTAACTATATAACGTCATTTATAGAAAGGTAAGCATATTTGGCATAGATACCAGTCTTGCGTCTAATAGACTTGTTAATTCTGGTCTAAACTCTCAAGCTTTCAATCAAAAGAAGGATATTTTTTTTCTTCAGTAATTATAAAATAGTAACTATGCCACTTTTATATTTGCATCTCATCGCATTTAATGATAATAATTAATAGCACAAGACTCAGCTTCTAAATTGCTACATTAATCGTTTTGTAATCAAAATCAATTTTTATGTAAAATATATACTGTGTAAACTATATAATATATGTATAAATATGTTTAACTATGTATACTGTGTAAACTATATAATGATACTGAAAGGACTGAGGAAAAAAATCAGAATTATATGAGTATGAAGAAAAAATTTAGTTCAGACTAGTGTAAATAGCGATGTACATAAAAACAATCTTATTTGAATGCTATTCCGTATGGTACCTACACAGTCTGTTATTTTTATCTGACGTCTTTTGCTGCACCAGTATTTTTATACATATCTTGGAATATTGAGGCATCTTCGTGATAATGGAAGTACTTGTCCAATAATTTAGCTGCTTCCAGGGCTTTTAATGCTCGCTGGAGGCTGAGGCTCATCGGTGTTCTCTAAATCTCCATGTTCTTGATCTTCAGTTTTCCACAACATCCCATATCTTCTCTCCCGTTTCTATTGTGGAGTATCAGTCAAAAGTTTTGTGCCAATACCGTGATTTTCTTTTACTAGCAATGTTTACCTACAAAAACCTGAAAAAAATACACTTAGGGACCACTTACAAACATCTCAAATATAGATAACCATAGGCAATGACCAGGTGTTCACAGCAGTGCTGATAGTGAATACAATCTCTAAGTGAACTTAGGGACATCTTGAAATTGGCCATTTCATTAGGCTTATACAGTAATATCAAATAAGAAAATAAATGAAATTTTTTAAACTGTAAATTTTAGTGGTTATACCTATATTTTAATTAGTTTACAATAATTATAGGAATATGGCACGTCATGGCAAAATCAACCTGATAGGACAGACATTAAAAATTAATCAAAAATTTACTTTTATAAATAATTGACAATTATGATTACAAACAAAAAATAGAATCAAACAAAATAAATATAATCCTCATATTACACTAAAACATATTCCTCAGGATTTTTTGTCCTTGCTTTTACCA